AGATGTGCAGGTTAGGTGGATTGGCCATGCTAAATTGCCCGTAGTGTTCAGGGAGGTAGAGGGTGGATATTAGGTGGGTCATAGGGGAATGGATCTGGGTGGGATGCTCTGAGGTCCGGTGTGGACTTGTTGGGCCGAAGGGCCTGTTTCCACACTGTAGAGATTCTAATTCTAGTTCAAAGAGAGAGAAAGACAGTTGGACAGATAAAGGAGTTGCTAACGATCAGGCTGGGAGGGTGAATAGTTGTACTAACAGTCCCCATTAACAACTATTCACCGTCCCAGCCTGATTGTTTTCCCAGTTTTCCCAGCCACCATCAGTTCTGAGGAAGGGTCACCGGACCTGAAACATTAATTCTGTTTTCTCCTTCACAGATGCTGCCAGACCTGAGCTTTTCCAGTAACTTTGCTTTTGCACATGAGTGACAATCTGGGTGTTATGGTTCACCACTTTCCATTTTGCATACGGGTACTATTCATCGCAAACAGACAAGCTGTGAGAACATAGCGGTGAGGCTGCTTAAGTTTCCTTCAAAAGCAAGCTAGAACAATGAGTGCCGCCAGACTATTCCTCCAAGGAAGGCAGCGTCATTTGAGCCAATTTCCATCCACAGATACAAGGTAGCTCTAGTGGTAACCAGAGAGTCCAGGATTATGGAGCCAAGCTAAACATCCTCCTGCCTAGCCAAGAGCTACTGAAGAAGCTATCATGGCCTCAATTTCAATTTGGTTAGTGACACAGAGCTTTACCCAATGACGTCTTTCATTCTGCACCTCAATATTATTTCCCTTTTACAGCAAAACATTCTATGTAGATGCAGCTCATTGTTGTCATATTTTGTATTTAACTTAAACAGCATGTATTTTTCGGTTTAGAACTTATTCTTTTTTTGGCATTCATAAATATTTGCATAAACCACAGTGAAAAATTATATGGGCATATTTGTTAGCAAGTCAGTGCAAAAAAGAACTAACATTCTTATGGTTGAAAGTGCCATAATCACTGATTTGTTAACTGTAGCTTGAAACGTAGGACTTAATGTATTAATTTCACCTCTCTGCTATTTTAGTAGAGGAATAAACATTCCCAGTATTATTCAAACACAATGATCACTCAGCCTAACCTCCAGGTCTACATTTCCATTGAAGTTGAATTAAATCACCAACACTACAGAGTTGAATAAATCCTTCAACACTATTGCTCCCTAAGGTCATGAGCATTCATTTTTTTAAACTAAAACACTGAAGGAAATAATTGGTCGACAGAAGGAGAAACATATTGTGTTCACAATTCTTCAGGAATGAATTTCGAACAATCCCAATGGTGAACGGAGTCAATGACTTTTGTCATTCAAATCATTCTAATAAAGATCTTTTTTTGTATTTGAACCAGAATTTAGTTGTGTTTTAGGTATTGAGAAACTGAAGTGAAAAATCAAGAGTGTTGGACACCCTCAAGGCTGAAAAAGGATAGACAAAACAAACCATGCAGAAATAATGAGGTGACATGAAGCTTGTACACTGGAGGAAGATTGCAGTCAGTAAGGCTCAAGGTTTCCTTAGTTTTAAGACACTTGGAAAAGAGAGTTATGGTATGAATCAAGCTGATAATTATTTTTTCAACATGATCAGAAAGAGAGATGGGAAAATGTGTAGGTTGACAAATTTGGAATGAAGAGGCCAAACTTTTTTTTTAAAAGAACAGTCCATGGCAAAGAGAGACCATGCATTTTTATAACTATTTTGTGAACTCTGGGATCTTCCAAAGCACTTTACAGCCAATGAGATAACTTTGAAAGGGTCAATTAATGTAGAGAAATACAGCAGATAATTTGTGTACAAGATCCAAAAATGGTGAAAATGGTGCTATTGGTTAAGGAAAAAGCAATGGTGAGATTACCAGGAGAATACAACAACTGTTTGGTTCTGAGGAAGCTGATGGGCCTCAGGAATAAGAGTGTGAGAATGTATTGGATCACAATAAAAAGATTTGATATAACGCTGGATTCCTAATGATTATTCGGGCAACAGCCACGGTTACTTGGGGAAGGACTGTCTGTGTGACCTGTGCAGTGACACTATGAACATTCATGCTATGCATTACACACAAAGGAAACCCACTGTGTCTCTTCGGATCACTGTCAGGTTTTTGCTGCCAAGCCTAGTAGCATCAATAAATATTTAAATGGCTGATGTCAAATGCCTAAAAGCTACTTTATCAACATGAAACTAGACATTTTCCATCATTTCCTCTTGACCTGAGTTTTCTATTTCCCCAATAAATAAACACATCATCAGGAAAGGTACTGTACAAAGAACCCTGAATCATATCAGTTTCTATTAGCACTTTGGAAACAAACAAAAATTCTAACCACTCCTCCATAATTTACTGAAGAATAGGTTAATCAAATTGGTTTCACAGAGGTCCCTATGCTGAACTGGAGGCAGGAATAGACTTTTCAAAAATCATTTGAGATACACACCATTAAATAAACACATTGTACTGTATATAATTTGTCAAAAGTAAACTCAGTCATGGAATAATTATAATCCATGATCTGGCTGCTGGTGAGTTTACCTGATTACACGCTTGGCAATTTTTAGAATATAAATGGAAATTTTTGTTCTAGTGGCCACGTTGGCGTTGTCCCAGTTGATTAGTTTTCTCTCAGTGAATATTTAGAATGCTACGGTGCTGTTCACATCATATATCAGCTTGCGATACCACACACCAATCTGACTCTCACTGATCACTGTTTTTTCTTATTCATTTGAGGGATGAGGGTGTCGCTGGCTAGGCCAGCATTTGTTGCTCATCCCTAACTGCTGAGAGGGCAGTTAAGAGTCAACCACATTGCTGTAGGTCTGGAGTCACATGTGGGCCAGACCAGGCAAGGACGGCAGTTTCCTTCCCTAAAGGACATTATTTGTTTACTCTAATAGAAATTAAATGGCTTTCTGTGCATTTTAAAACAAAATATTGAGCAAAACAGGATCGCTATGTGTGACATAGCTTGGGACTGAGACACTACGTTTGGAGCCTTGCTACAAAATTGTCACTAGATAATCCTTGTATTTTATAGCAGCTTAGAATGAAAAGTTGGTGATGTTACAGGTGGCATTGTGGGTCTACCTACAGGACATGGACTGCAGTGGTTCAAGAAGGCAGCTCACTACCACCTTCAAGGGCAACTAGGAATTGGCAATAAATGCTGACCCAACTAATGGCACCCACATTGTACAAGTGAACGCAAAAAGAATAAGATTAACTTTAACAATATCTTGAAGAATAGACAGAAGTCCAAAAAAATGTGTGTCTTACATAAACCACTGTCCAAAGTAATTCTTTTTTTACTGGGAATAGGGACACTGGTGGGTGGAGGAGGAACAAGTGCCAAATCTGCCCAATATCAGCCTTAGTTATTTTGCCCACTGGCTGTTTGCTCATAGACTCACAGAGTCATAGAGATATACAGCACGGAAACAGACCCTTCGGTCCAACTTGTCCATGCCGAACAGATAATCTAAATGAATGAAAAGATATGAAAAGATATGAAAATCCCTACAGTGTGGAAACAGACCCTTTGGTTCAACTCATCCATGCCAACCAGATAGCCTAAATTAATCTATTCCCATTTGCCAGCATTTGGCCCATATCCCTGTCAACCCTTCCTATTCATATACCCATCCGGATGCCTTTTGAATGTTATAATTATACCAACTTCCACAACTTCCTCTGGCAGCTCATCCCATACACACAACACCCTCTGTGTGAAAAAGTTTCCCTTTAGGTTCCTTTCATATCTTTCCCATCTCACCTTAAACCTTCTAGACATCAGCTGGTTGGTGGGGTAGCAATGGGAGTTGAGGAAGCAGGAAGCCTCCTGTGCCCTTTTGCCGTGAGAGAGGCACATGATGCAGCTGGGATTTTTATTTGGAAAAGTGTTTCCAAAGGGAAGATGTTCGAGACAGTAGAGAGCTCAAATTTCCATAAGGAGCATCTATCAGTCTTAGGCCATCATCTCATCCCTAGGAAAGGTGTTGAGGAGGTGAAGGGGTAGTGGTTACGACAATGGGTTCAGATACTACTATGGGAAAGAGTGAAATCTGAATTTGAGAGAAAATGGTGGCACAGTGGTAAAGTCATTGGGCTAGTAAATCCATGGCAGATAGTGGGATTTGAATTCAATAAAAACTGAAATTAAAAAATTAATTGATATAAAAAACCCATCTGGTTCTAATATCCTTTAGGGAAAGAAATTGCTCTCCAGACCTGGTCTGGCCTCTTTGTAACTCTACATAATGTAGTTGACTCTTAACTGCCCAGCAAGCGAAGCCCACGTCCCATGAATGAATGAATGAAAGAAAAAAAAATAAAAAAGATGGCCTAATGGTGACCATACGACCACTGTTGCTTGTCATAAAAGTCCACTTGGTTCATTAATGTCCTTTATGGATGGATATCTGATGCCCTTACTTGCTGTGCCCAACATGTGATTCCAGACACACAGTAACATGGTGGAATCTTGATTGCCCACTGGGCAATTAGGAATGGGCAAATGAAAAATAAAATCACAAATGACTTCTGCTCAGACAGATTTAATTTTGTAATCTGGACTCTAATCCACTCTTAAGCAAGGACACTGTGGGTGCCTTTGCTGTCTATGCAAAGGATCTGGTTAAAATCAAGATCGGCACAAAGACAACAAGAATTCAGGGAGGAAATCATCCAGGGCATTTTAACCATCCACCCATATGGCCCCCTCTGAGAGTCTGAATTTTGAAGTATTTGCTTATGTCTTCCTGCTAACCCCAACGTCTCAGCATAGGGAGGGCAGTAATGGTTCCAACGCTCATTTATGAAGAGGTATGTAAATGTCAGAACCAAAGGTATGAGCTGAACCCTTGCCCTATGTAGGATTGGACATGCACACAAAATTTGAGAAGTACAAATCTCGCAAGAGCCAACAGTTACTGTTACACTCAAAGCGATTGCTCACCTCAATCTGTAATATTGCCTCCTCTCTTTGTTTTACAGATTCTACTTCATCCTCTGTGATTTCGGAAAGGAACGCCTGACTCTGGGGCTGAGTCGGATCTGAAGAGTCATCTGCTTGCCATTTGCCGGACCCTCTGCCAAGGAACTCGTCCTCATCACTGATCTGTGTGAATGGGTTCTTGGCAATCTGCAATAGGAATTCCATTCCAAACTTTAGCTCCAAAGTTTAAAAATGTCAGACCTTTGTAACAATGCAATCATTGTTAGAATGACAAGTTAAAACCTCCACAATAGCATCATTTGCACAGCTTAATAAATATAAAGTTTTTTGTCATTTTTGTTCCAGATGTTGTGCACAGCTTTGTTTGTTTCACTCGTAATGTATTGCTGAGAACTTCTGAAGGTGTTTCGTTTCCTGGCAAATATTGAGCATGTGCAATTGTGTGGGATTCAAGGCTAGGTGTGTAAGAATAGGACTCCCTCAATATGTGAACAGAATATTGCTTTTTGACACATCCATACGTATTGAATCGTAAAATAGTTACAGTACAGAATGAGGACATTTGGCTTGACCTGTGCGTGCTGGCCCCCTGAGGAGTGATTTGGCAAGTGCCACTCCTTTGCTTTTTCCCTGCAGTAGCCTTGTAACTACTTTTCTACTTCAGATAATGATTCAATATCCTTTTGAAAGACTCAATTGAATACTCTTTCAGGCAGTGTGTTCCAGATCCTAACGACTTGCTGCGTGAAAAAGTACATTATCATCTTGCCATTTGTTTTATCTGGCAATTACCTTAAATCTCTGCATCCTCTGGTTCTTAATCCTTTCACTATCAGGAAAATAAATTTCTTCTGCTACTTGTCTCACATTCCACCAACCTATCTCTGTTCTTTGCAGCTGTACACTTCATTTCTTATGGTTCACCATACTTCCATGCATCATATCAACTGAAAATTTTGACATTGTGTTCTGTACATCAAGGTCGACATCATTAATCTCTAATTAGGAAGATCCCTGGGAAGCTCCACTACAAACCTTCCTTTAGGCCAAAATACAACCAGTCACCAGTCATCTTTGTTTCCTGTCACTCAGCGAATTTCATATACATAATGCTACTCTCTCACTTATTCCATGACTTCTTACTTTGTTCATTAGTCTGTTGTGTGACAGTTTATAAAAGGCCATTACACCACATCAACAGCATTTTGCTGATTGATCTTCTCTGTTAACTCATCAAAAAAATCCAACCAAGTTGTTGGGCCCTCAACAAATCTATGATGGTTTCCCTTAATTAACCTGCATTTTGCTAAGTGTCTCTTAATTATGTCCTCAATTGTTGCCTTGAATGTTTCTCTAACACTAAAATCAGGTTCCTGAAAAGCCATGATCTCATCGAATGTTGGAACACACTCAAAAGGATAAAGATTCCCATGTTGCTACAATTTTAAATGGAAGGTGCGCTGTAAGAGATAGGGAAGTGCAAGTTCAGAACTCACTCAAATAAATGATGAACGAATGGATATTAGCAAACATTCTTTTTTTAAGTTTAGCCACAATGAATAAGTAATATTTTGTCAGAAACCTGGTCAAACTCCAATTGACTGAATTTCTACACTTTAGTTTGTTGTGTTTTGGGCATCTTAAATTAAAGGACCTTAACAAAGGAAAAAGTCAGGGGACAATAACGAAACAATTGAGTTAACGGAAACAACTGATTACAAATAGGCACAAGGATGATAGTATAAGGTAGGGGTGGAGGTTAGATAGACCTTAGGTTTAGGGTAAAAGTTCGGCACAACATTGTGGGCTGAAGGGCCTGTACTGTGCTGTACAGTTCTATGTTCTATGTTCTATAGGTCTAAGTCTTTTGATTCTCTATCACATTTAAGTCCAACCTATGGCTAATTAAATGCAATTATGTTGACTCCAGGATGTTTGCTGTCTTGGTAGGACATATGGGAAGAAAGGTTTAGTAAGGAAGTTAAAGGTCAGTAGATGTTGCAATCATGACCTTGCCTTCTCTGTGGACAATCTGGAATATGGACCCATCTGAAACAAGAGGCTGGTATCAAGTCACCCTTTATTTACACGTGGGAAGTCCTTGACATGGTCCACCTTACACACAGTGAACAGGGTATCTAACACTTCTGTTTATATCTGTCAGCCAGGACTCCCTGATTGGACCAGATTAACAGCCTTAATCAGGGAACTCATATTGTACGAGGTCCACTTGGCTGATCGCCTTGTCAAATACTAACTGCTTGCTCACCATGCTTCAGACCATGAAAGAAACTGTGCTTAACTAAAGCAGAAGAAAAATAAAGTAATTTAAAAGTCTAACAACTTCATATTCACCCATCCCAGAGATTGTAAAAATCTGGTACTCCTCACCTGCCTGTTTAGGCTGAAATTTTCCAATGTTGGAATAGATGTCGGGTAGCAAGTCTGTTAGGTAAATGCTAGCAACTGCATGTGTTTCTGTGTGTGTCTGTGTGTGTGTGTCTACGTCTATCCATGTGCGCTTGTGTGGAAATATTCCAGTCATAATATTTGAGAACTGAAACATTAGGAATAGGATCAGAAATCGGCCATCGATCCTGCTCTGCCATTCAATCAGTCTTCTACCTGAAAATTCTATTCCCCCCACATAATTTAAATGTGTACATTTATTCACTAATTATTTCCTTTGGTTCTTTGAAGTCTATGAAATGATCTTCACCTTGATCATGCAACACAGGTGTTGTAAAATTATCCGAGACAACAAGGTGCAGAGCTGGATGAACACAGCAGGCTAAGCAGCATCATAGGAGCAGAAAGGCTGACGCTTCGGTCCTAGACCATTCTTCAGAAATGGGGGAGGGGAAGGGGGTTCTGAAATAAATAGGGAGAGAGGGGGAGGCGGATAGAAGAGGGATAGAGGAGAGGATAGGTGGAGAGGAAACAAACAGGTCGAAGAGGCGGGGATGCAGCCAGTAAAGGTGAGTGTAGGTGGGGAGTTAGGGAGGAGATAGGTCAGTCCAGGGAGGACGGACGGGTCAAGGGGGCGGGATGAGGTTAGCAGGTAGGAGATGGGGGTGCGGCTTGAGGTGGGAGGAGGGGATAGGTGGGAGGAAGGACAGGTTAGGGAGGCCGGGACGAGCTG